GCATATTTTTTTCGTAGTGTATTTGTTGTTGTATTGTGTCAAAATGACACCACAACATCAATGTAGTAATGACGATTGCCCAGCGGGACCGAAAATCAAGTGTATAAAATGCGGAAAATTGTGTTTCATGAAATGTTTTGGTCTTGCAAATCATGAAAGCATCGACAACAACGAAATTGTAAAAGTGTCATTGTCAAACGGCGGCTCACTTTTCGCATTTTTACCGTCGTGTGCATTTGTTTGTTGTGAGAACGAACTGTCAAAGACCGATTTGAAAAAAATATTGAAAGTGCCGAAAAACAGTCGTTCGTCGTCCAAATCGCGTCAATCGACCGAAAACGTTGAAATTACATCCGTTATCACCGAATTGGCCGAAATAAAATCCATGATTATGGAAGTAAAATGCAAAACTACCGACATTCACGATGACACACAAAAGATATACAAAGCAACCGACGTGTTAGTAGGTAAAGCCAACCGGCCGCCACTTTTAACCCGTAATGGTCCAACACCAAATGCACCGAATAAAGTGAATTTACCTGATTTTCAATCACCGTCAACACCGAAACTTTCTTTTGCCAATGCTCTTCGTAATAATAATGCAATACAAAAATCGGCTAAACGTAAACGAAGTGATAATGTACCGGTGCAAAAACCAAATTCGCCGTCAGTTAAAACTGGAACAAAATTGGGTCCATGTGCATTAACAGTGGCACCAAAGAATCATGATTCGAAGCCAAAATTTGAAAAGGCCGTTTGGGTGTCAAGATTCCGCCCAGAAGTGACAAGTGAACAAATTATTGAGTTAATTAAGGAAAACACGACGATTAATGATAAAAACCGAATGAATGTCCACAAATTAGTGAAAAAAGACCGTGATTTGTCCAGTTTAAGATTCGTGTCTTTCAAAATTGAAACGAACACCGAGGACTTTGATGTTTTAATGAATCCGGATGTTTGGCCAGAAGATATTATGGTGCGTGAGTTTTTGCAAAGCCTAACTTTTGGTGATTTCTTTCCGGCTTTACCACCAAACGAGAATCGAAAAATGACACCCGACAAAATGGAAACAACCGAACAAAAATCACCGACAAACAATATCAAATCACAGCAACAAATGTCACCGAAAACAACACCGTAATAGACTTTGAGCAATTAAAAACATCGCATCAAAATGAAAATTCAGCTCCGAACCAAACAAAATTGAATGTGTATATTCAAAACACACATTCTATTCGCGACAAAGTCGATGAGATACGATTATCACCAAAATCGTGTCCCTTTCAAATAATTTCTTTTTTCGAAACTTGGCTACAAAAATGCATCACAGACATTGAACATTTCGGAAAGAGGTATAATGTGTATCGTGGCGATCGATCAGAACTGACAAGTGACAGAACAGACGGTGGAGGTGTTTTGGTTGCAGTGGATTGCATATTCAACAGCGAGAAAGTGACTCTATCGGAGAACAGTGCACTTGAACATGTATGTGTAAAAATTTCGTTCCAGTCGTGCAATGTTTTTGTGTTTGCGGTGTACATTCGGTCGGTGCACGAGACAGCAAAATTCTTGGAATTTGCTGAGATTGTGAAACTGATCTCGTACAATGAAAATGACATCGTTATTGTGTGCGGTGATTTTAATCAGCCCGGTGTCAAATGGATCAAAGCCGATGATGGTGACTATTACTTGCCAATGAATGTATCGACAGAAGGAGGCATTGCTGTTTTCGACACAATGTTCGACTGTGGTTTTCATCAACTGTCAAATATCGTGAATCCAGCCGGAAATGTTTTGGATTTGGTTTTCACAAACAAATTCTATGAGATGTCGTTAATTGAATCAACACGACCATTGATAAAATCCGACATCTGGCACAAGGCAATTGAAGTCGAAGTGACAATTGATGGAAATGAGCCCACATCGGAAATATATGCATACAATTCGGCGGATTTCGTTGCAATGAATGCATTCTTCGATGCGAATGACACTTTGGCAGAAATGAATCGAATGGATGACCTCGAGAATGCATTCCAAGCTTTTGGACATGTTCTACACGAGGCGATCGATTATTTTGTTCCGAAAATCACCGTACAAAAAAACACTGATCCACCGTGGTACAATAAACCATTGAAGCACCTGAAAAATGTCAGAAGAAAGGCATACAAACGTGCAAGGGAATCTGGCAACTTTGACGAATACAATGCCATTACCGATTCGTTCATGCAATTGCAGGGCCAGATTTTCAAGTCGTATATCAGCCGTATACAATCGCAAATCAGAGCAAATCCAAAACATTTTTGGAGATTTGTGAACGACAGAAGAAAAAGAAGCAATATTCCGGCTATTGTTGAATACAACAATGAAATTGCGGACACTGACACATCGAAAGCCGAATTATTTGCTGATTTTTTCGAAAATCAGTACACACGAAGCGACATTATCAACTTGGATCAATTGTTAGGTGAATGCGAAGACGTATCATTTGACATTGACATATCTGAAGTCGATGTGTTGGAGGCATTGCAATCGGTCAACGTGAATAAGGGAGCCGGCCCGTATGGTATTTCACCGAAACTGTTGAAAAATTGCGCGCACACATTGTCGAAACCATTCACAGCCTTATTCTGTAAATCACTACATCAAGGATGTGTTCCGGCAACATTGAAAAATTCAAGAATTGTGCCAATATACAAGTCTGGGAAAAAGAGCAACGCGTCGAACTACAGGCCAGTAGTTATAATACCGACAATAGCCAAACTTTTCGAAATTGTTGTGTATAACAAAATCAGCACATTTGTTAATTCGAAAATCTGCCACAATCAACATGGATTTGTGAAAAATAGATCAACATCGACAAATTTGTTACAGATGGTGAATTTTACGATCGATTCTATGATCAAAAAATGTCAAACGGATGTGCTATATACTGATTTCGAAAAGGCATTCGATCGTGTGAACCATATGAAATTGTTGCAGAAACTAGTGAAATTTGGATTCGGCCGACGGCTCGTCAAATGGTTCCATGGATATTTGAAAGATCGGACACAGTTTGTTGGAATCGGTGAACGAAAGTCACGAACTTTCACTGTATCTTCTGGAGTACCAGCGGGAAGTATTTTGGGACCATGTCTCTTCATTGTTTTTATTAACGACATTGTCGAAATCGTGTCAAATGCACTTGTTTTATTATTTGCAGATGATTTGAAATTGATCCGCACCATACAATCGCCCATTGATGCCATCATTTTTCAGAATGCCATTAATCAATTGAGCGACTGGTGTACTGAAAATAGCTTGCATTTGAACCTGAAGAAGTGTTTCGTTATGACATATTCGAAAAGCGGAAACATAGTTACCTACGATTATTCGATCAACAACGGCCAACATACATTTGAACGGATCAATTTACACAAGGATCTGGGAGTTGTATTCGACACGAAGCTAACATTTGTCAATCACATCGACGCGATTACAGCCAGTGCACATGGGGCAATTGGTTTCATCAAACGCACATTGAAGAATAAGTTTACAATTGAATCTGCTAAAATATTGTATTGTTCACTAGTCAGATCAAAATTAGAGTATGCGAGTATTGTATGGCAACCATATCACCGTATCCATTCCAATAGAATAGAATCAATCCAGAAAGATTTTGTGATATGGGCATTGAGATTTATTTACCAAAGAGATGAAAATTTTGTGCTACCACCGTATCAATTTAGATGTGATGTTTTAAATATTCAACCGCTTTGGAGACGGCGTATAAATGCCTCTGTATTTTTAATTTATGATCTCCTTTTGGGTAAAATAGTGTCTAGTTCACTTAGAAATAAAATTGTATATACAAGACTGCAATATGACGAAAACCAAAGAAATTTAAGAAGTACAGAACTGATTAGAGTTAGGGCATTTTCATCGGATTATGCACATAATCAGCCGTTTTACGTAGCTTGTAGAAACTTTAACTTGATAAGAGAAACATTTTTAGAATCGGCATCAAGACACATCTTTAGAAACAATATTGTCAAATTGGAAAATGCGATTTTTGATCGGTGAAAAATTTAACTTTTAATTTATATGTATTATATAGAAATTAAAACAGTGAACACAGTCGATATCTGCTGCTCCGAAGTCGAGAAGGCTGGTGGCTGGGTATACGATCGGGTGGTGTTTCATTGTGAACGATATTGTACAAATTTTGTGATAAATTCAGTCTGTGATCAGACGGTGTATAAATAAATAAATAAATAAATAAATAAACAAAAAGTCCAAAACAACCGTATGGAGACTCTCGTTGAGCAGATGACAATTTTCTATTTGATTACATGATTTATATTGACATTTTATTGGTTGGATCGCGCACTCCTCTCTATCTTTCTCTTTCTCTTTCTCTTTCTCAAATTCTAAAGAACAGTTCTCCGCAGAAATAAAGAATTCTCCACATTTTCAACTAAAGCGTTTTCATGAAAATGAATATTTGCATTATTTAATACATATTTATTAATTCGTGTTATTTTTTATCCCAATTTTGTGTAATGCATCATTATGCATCTGTTATGCTAATCGATTCCAAATGGAAAAGTTTATCTCTGCCAATATTGTCAATGGTTTGCTCCTATGACTCACACTTTGAAAAGGTATAAAAGTTGTTATAGGGAACTTTTTAAACTTGAAAACTCATTCTTACCAGACATTAGGCTCGAGCTATGCATATAGCGGCTGCTATTTTATAGGTGCTATTCATAGGCGCTATTTAATTCGTGTGCTGTGTGTAACACCGAGTAGGAATATCATAGCCTACTATTCTTTTGTACATTTGAATGTGAGTACAAGAGAGATGTAGAAAATAACACACAATATGCATAAATGCATTAAAACGAGATAAATAGCGCCTATGAATAGCAGCTATGAAATAGCAGCCGCTATATCCATAGCTCAAACCTAATGTCTGATTCTTACACGAAAACAATCCATATATTTAATGTGAATGAGTTTTATTAACGTTTCCTTTCATCATTCAAAAAAAGAAAAAAAAGAAAATAACTCAGCCGAAACCCTTTTCTTTTTTCGAGAAAGTCAAGTTTTTTTCCTAATTTTATTTTTTTATTTTCTAACTCTTTTCCATCTAATAGATTTCAATGTGGCTCTTTTAAGTTGTACAATCATTATTATCAATACACATTTCACAGAATGATGATCATTTTTTTCATATTTTGCTTGCTATAGCTTTCCATGTAATAGATGTCATCCTATTAAATTAATATTTTTTTCATTTTTTTTTTATAAACATTCCGATTGAAATATAAACTTTTCAGTATTATAATTAGAATAAGAAAAGAAATTCGATATACTTACATGCAAAAGATATAAAAAAATGAGCTCAATTGGCTCAAGAACAATGTGAATATGATCATGTAACGCCATCTAATGGAAAAGAAAAAATTCAAAACATTGAAATGTTTGACAAAATTGTTTAAGCATTACAACGGTCGATGATTACCAACATTGACAGCT